AACAGCCAAAGGAAAACAACTAAAATAAAAAACAAAACAAAGGAACCCAAACCAAGGACAACGATTTCCAGCCAGAGAGAGCACAAAGAACACCCAATAGTTCAAGCACTTCTCCCAGAAGGCAGCCAAAACACACCAGACAACAGCAACCATCTGAAGTCTTGAGATTCACTCATAACAATGAAAGCTAAGAGCTTTGCCAAGATTAACATAATCTACTAGAGCCAAGTAAATCCCTTCTGGACAAAAAGAAACACTAAGCATAGCTTGCACCAGTGGAGAGACAGATCCTTCCATAACCCATACAACTCTTTCAACAAAAGCAAAAATAATTCGCTTATATCCCCGAGGAACCCACCTCAAAGCCATCCTTAATTTTTCCACCAAAAATACCAAGTGGATTACCCAAAATACAACAAATATGGAGCTGGAACAGATAATCAACATTACCCCTATTTGAAAGAGCTGCCACATAGATACACCAGAAAGTAGAAGCAAAAGGCTTCAACAATAAAGATTAGAATCCATTACATACCAAGTCATACAAGGGTAGACCAAGAAAGCCATCTCCAACATAGCCCACCTCTAGAATGAAACAAGAACCCGCATGCATCAAGCAAACAAAATCAGTCCACCAATAAACCAAATTAACATTCTCAATACAAAACAAATCAAGGCTTCCATCTAGATCAATAATACATTCCCAGAATATGATCACAAAGAATACAAAATAAATGGAAACAAAAACATTATACCACCAGGAAATGAGATCATAGCTTTGAGTAGATGGATGCACTAATTTCAATAAAGTGATTCCCAAATAATACTCCCTTCCAAGGAACTCTGGTCTCGTCCCGCCATTCACTGATCGTCTTCATCATGCCAGGCGAGGAATCCGATTTCATCAATTGATTAAACCAAAGACTGATCCACGTTGCTTGAAATTAAGTCATACCTTTCAAAGCCCAACTCCTCCTCAGATTTGGCCAGTACTGCTTCGGGCAGAACCTATTGTAGATCATCTTCCATTCCAGAGCACTCAAGGAACCACCATAGTCTCTTTGCACCGAGCCAAAACCAATCGAAGAAAGCATTCTACATTTGTTGTTAGCGAAACACCTTCAATTCACATCTCCCAATTTCAAGACCCGTTCCCAAATGTCCATCCTCTCGCCCTGAATTCCTTCACACCCATACCCTAATCGAGACAGACACCAACCCACATCTCCATGACAGCCATCCGCTCACGCTCGCCATGAAACAAAGAGGAGAACAAAGCCGCCGATCGCAAGAGAAACTCTCCAAGATGAGGGAGGGGGGACCCGGTAGAGCACGCCTTCGCAAGGGTGAAGAAAACCTTTGTTGGGAGGAAAACATAAATAAGAAAATGTGAAGAGAAAACAGATTTTTATCTGTTTGGACAGAAGGAAAACAAAATGAGAAAAAAAAAAGTAAGAAAAAGAATAGGTGTGAGATTCGTTATTTTTTTTAATTTTTTTTTTAAAATAAAAAGATTTTGGGAGTGAAATTTTTTTCACCAGCTATCCTCTTTATCTTATTTATTTCGCCCTCTGACAATTACATTAATTTAATTTTAATTAAACAGTTTGGTTTATAATTTAATTTTAAATTAATTTGATTAAGTTAATTTTAATATAATTTCTGCTTTTGATTTATTTTCACAAATATAATTACATGAAACATGATATATTTTAATATAAGGGCATTATAGTTATCATGATATTTGTTCATTTTTTTTCTTTCTATTTTCTCCTATCCATTCAAAATAGAAAAAGTGATAATATTTTTTTTAATTTTTTTTTCTTTCTATTTTTTTTTCTCTCAACTTTTCTTCCAAAGGTAAGATAGAAAAGGAGATGATAGTGAGGAATATCACAATTTATTAATCAAAAGCACGTTTTGTTAAAAGAAATTCAAAAGTTTCTTGGATCAAAACCACATTCGAACACTTTTAACGTGTTTCTAAACATGTACTTGATATACAAATGTCCAATTTTTGGACACTTTTGCAACATTTTATTATTATAGATCTCATAAGCCATTCAATATATATGATCATGATTTGTAGAAGGGTAAAGTGATAAAAATATCCATCAAGTGATCAATCAGAAGCATTCAATATTTTAAAGAAAAAAAAGGACAAAAATACCATGATATTATTAAAATTGGTGCAAAAATAATCAAACCATTAACTTGCCTTAATGTCCATTAATTTTGGTGTTAAATATTAACTATGTTTGCCACAATGTTTGTTGAAGTAGACTAAAAAAAAGATAAAAATATCTACAAAATTATCAATTAAAAGTATTTAGTAGCTTAAAGTGAGAAAGAAGGTAAGAATATTCATAACATTATTTTAGTAGATGCAATTATGATTAATCCGTCAAAATATATGCCATATAATTTCTTTCCATTGTCATGTATTTTATCTTGTTTGTAAAACTTAAAATTCAATATAATGAAATAAGTTGTATGCAATTGAAAGTTAAAAATAAAAAAGTTCTAGCTTGTTGCAAAAAAGGCAAGCAGTTCATGAAAAATGTTGTTCCTACCTATAATGGCTTGGTGGCTATGCACACCTACTACTTTGCCAATTCCTTCATGTTGCTTTGTGTAGTGACACTGAACTATATATTGAGATCAGTTACGGAATCGTTTGCTGCGTAATTGGGATCCAAGTTTTCTATAAATCTTCAATTGTCAGTTTAAAATGTATTAAAATTTGTTAATTATTATTTTAAAATGTCTAAACTTCCCAAATATAGTTTTAAGTCTGTAAATTGAATTTAGCTCCTATTATTTCTTTGAAGTTGTTCCTGTTTCAACTGGCATTGAGATTTACAGTCCAAATTTAAGTTTTTTTTTTAAATAGTTAAAGTATCAGTTATTAATTAAAGGAGCCAAACTTAGAATATTATTTTTATTTCACAATTTTTTTATATAAAAATTTAAAATTAAATATTTTTTGTTTTTGTGTTCTGATTGAGTTAGCATTGAACTTACATAATTCATGTTCTATTTTCAAAATAACACGTCCGAGAAAAGGTATTCAAATTCAAAAGCGATGGGAACTCAAGACACTTGAGACAAAGTTGGTTCAATTATCTTTACTATTTGCGTGTTTACTTGCTGGCATAATGTCGTCAAAGATTGTTTTTTTCCCCCCCAATTCCGCGTGCATCTTGATCAAACATAGAAACAAGTTTAGAAAATTTGGTTCTCTTTTCACATGATGATGAGTTCATTCAACTAATATTTTCATGCATGCATGTAGTTTTCTGGAGACTTGCAAAGTTATTTGAATTATTTTCAGTCCTACTCTGTTTCAAAAATATTATTTGATTATTATATTCTATTTACTTCCTACCATAAACTTCTAATAAACTGATTTCTTCTTATTATAAAGAAGACTATGCATTAAAGGACAGAGCATTCACTAAATCCATTGCACAGAAATTGCTTGAGGAGAAGTAATTAATTCAAAAAGAAATGGGAACTCAAGACTCTTGAGACGAAGTTAGTTCGATTATTATTATTATTATTATTATTATTATTATTATTTTACTATTTATGTTCAGCTTAAGGATATAGCCTTTGATGCAAAATTGTCAAGGGGGAAAATCTTCCTTTTTCTTTAATTAATTTAGTAAATGATGCACCAATATAAAATACACTCATTTCTTAGCAACTTCTTGAGATGAGAAAGGGATTCAAATTAAAAATTATGCTAGGGACTCAAGTCACTAAAGATAAAGTTACTTTGAATCCCTTTCTCAAGAAGTTGCTAAGAAATGAGTGTACATTATATTGGTGCATATTCAATTATTATTTTTTAATTGAAATTAAATTGTTAGTTTACTTGTTGGCATTATTTAAAAGCAATGGACCAGCAAGGAAAAGTAGACTCCAACTTAGTGTATTTTGGGGGGGAAGACTTTACAAGTGTGAGATAGAAGCAATTCATGGACAAAGCATATATAATTTAAATTTACATAAATGAATATATATATAAATTTGAGGGAAAGTTAAAAAAAACGAAAAGATTTTTTGTATAAATTTGATTTTTTTATATAAATATATAGTTACATTCTTCTTATATATTAATAGATAGAAATCAATTTCGTAATGAATATTATTTTATTAATTTTCAGTCAAATATATTGAAAGCATGTGAATAGGAAAAGAGGAGCTGGCTAAAATAGAGTTAAAAAATGTGTTGGAAATTAAAAACTTGTAAAGTATAACAACACTCCCCCAATGGCTTGCTACCATCCCATACCCTACGTAATTTGCAATTTTCAAGACATGAATTGGCAAATAAAAAAAAATGGAGAAATAACTCATCAAACATATCATCACTTTCAGTAATTTACTATTTTCATACAATAATTTGAAAACCTCAAATCACTAATTTCCAAGTGAGATTCGTTAATTTGTAACAGAAAATTGAGAATATAACTTGTCAAATATCACTACTTCTTGTCGTTTGTTACTCTCATTCCTTGATTTATGCAATTCAACGACAAATAATTTGCGAGTTAGATTCCTATTTTCATATAAGAACAATGACTGGGTATTTAACTTTGGATTGAGATTACTTTAAAGTCTAAACTGTTTATTCCAATGGTCACTAAACGTAGTAACAAATTAAGGACATGGAACCGTGTCTTTTTGTTGACTTTTTTGTTGGCCTCCTTTGAATTATAGAACAATTTGTCGCCTAAAACAAGGATTAAATTACTCCTGTCGGTGTATAATTTGTTTTTCTTTTTTGATAATAACATCTCTCTTCCCTGCAACATTTGCAAAGGGTATTAGTCTCTAGTTTTAATAAAATTATAATCATATAATGTATGACAGATAAATAGCAAAACATCAACTTCTCCCACAGATATTTATCTTGCGGAAGCAACCCTTTTCGAAAGTGCTTGCTTTGTAATCAAACAACCATCATCGACATGCTTAGTTTGTCATCACAAATGTCAGTTCTTGTGTTGCTGCTGCTATGTGCTGTCACATTCAACAGAAGCTTCTGCTGCCATGACAGGGATCGAACTCTGCTATTAATCTTCAAACAAGGCGTTGTTGATCCTTCCAACCGCCTCTCCTCTTGGTCTTCCACGAACCAACATTGTTGTGAATGGCAAGGTGTTATTTGTGATCCCTACACCAGCAGGGTCCAACAGCTTGATCTGCAAAACTATAACTATATGGAAAGTGGCTCAGAATCCTTGAAAGGTGAAATCAACTTATCTTCTTTACTTGCACTTGAATTTCTAGAAGAATTGGACTTGAGCCGCAATGACTTTGAACGAATAAACACACCATCTATCAATACTTCTGTTGTTTCTCGTACTCTTTTACCTGCAAATATTTCTCTGCTCCATCACCTGGACTTATCACAGAACATGCATAATCTTCGTGTTGATAATCTTCATTATTGGCTCTCGCAACTTCCTTCCCTCACATATCTGGATCTCAGTGGCATTCATCTTCCTTGTGAAATGAAATGGGTTCAATCATTAGCTTTGTTACCTCTGGAGGCCTTATATTTGCGTGATTGTAATTTGACCAGCTCCATTCTATCCATGGCACATGCCAATTTTAGCTCACTTTTATATGTTGATCTCAGTCTAAATGATTTTACATATGGACTACCTAATTGGTTGTTCAATCTTAGCAATGACCTCTCCAATCTTCAACTCGGTCACTGCAGTTTGAGAGGTCCATTTCCAGATCTTTCAGGCTATCGAAAGCTGCAGAACTTAGATCTATCTAGCAACAAACTCAAAGGATCAATACCTGATTGGCTTGGCCAGCGTGATGGATTAATTGGCCTTGATCTTTCTAATAATTCGTTTCAAAGTTCCATTCCTTCAAACCTCTTAAATGCATCATCTTTAGCAATTTTAAATATTAGTTTCAATGACTTGAGTGGTACGCTTCCAAAAAACCTTGACCTTGACCAAAGGCACTTTGAAATTTTGGATTTGTCTCACAACTCAATTAGTGGAGATATATCGAACATGTTGCTGGATGGTGGGTATATATTGATGTCATTTAATAAATTTAAAGGACGGCTTCCTCGAATATCAGAGCATGTCATAGCTTTGGAGTTAGCTCACAACTCTTTTTCAGGATCCTTATCTTCTTTATTGTGTGACCCCGATCCGCGTAACAAGTACATGTTGGTGTATTTGGACATATCAAATAATTATCTGGTTGAAGAACTTCCAGAATGTTGGAGCAGTTGGGCATCTTTGTCTTACATATACCTAGGGAATAATCAGATGGTTGGTCAAGTTCCTCCAAGGATGGGTTCATCGTTTTCTCATCTGAGAGCACTAGATCTACAAAATAATGGCTTTTCTGGTCATGTACCTTCGACTTTTTGTCATTGCACATCTTTGGTGTTCATCAATTTAGAAGGAAACAACTTTTCCGGAAATATACCATCATGGCCGCAAAATATATCAGTTTGTGAAGCTGAGATCCAATCAATTTACAGGCACTTTTCCTCCCCAGCTCTGTAGTCTCTCTGCTTTGATTGTATTGGATCTTGCAAAAAACAAACTTTCAGGATCAATCCCTCATTGTCTGCTCAATATAACCCTTATGATTTCGGGCCGATTTCTTGAAAATGCTTTAAGCAAACAAGATCAACTTGTATCAACTGGCTTTCCATCTCCACAAGAATTCAAAATATATTTGCAGACAAAGGGTCAACAATTACAGTATGATAAAAATTTGAAGCTCGTGCGAAGTATTGATCTATCAATGAACAAATTCACGGGAGAAATTCCTATCCAATTGTTCAAGCTCACTCAATTACAATCATTGAACTTATCGTATAATTATTTGACTGGAGAGATACCGGAGCAGATTGGAGAGATGAAAGATTTAGAGTCTCTTGATTTATCCCATAACAATCTTCATGGGAACATTCCTCAGAGTATGTCTGGTCTATCTTTTCTAAGTGTTTTGAATCTTTCATACAACCATTTTAGTGGACGAATTCCACTGGGAACTCAGCTTCAGGGTTTTGATGCATGGAGTTATGTTGGGAATCTTGAGCTTTGCGGAGCTCCTCTTCCAAATAACTGTACAGTACCAGAAAAGCTAGACAATACAAAACAAGTTAAAGGAAATGATGATGATGGCTTTTTGAGGTCATTGTATCTTGGGATGGGAGTTGGATTTGCGGTGGGATTCTGGGTAGTTTGTGGTTCTCTGTTCCTAAACAGAGCATGGAGACACACTTATTTTCGATTCTTTTATGGTGTGGTTGATCGAATCTTTGTCTTTGTGGTCATAAAGCTTCAAAGATTTCGCTGATCAGGAATAAGAGACAACATTAGGTCAGTTAAGAAGTTTCTTCTCTTTATTTAAATTCATTTCTTTTGTAATAATGTTTATTCCTTAGCATATTCATCGCAGCTGTGATGATTTCCGTTTCTTTTTGCTGCCCAATAACTCATATGCATAATATAAGTTAAAGGCTTGTTTGATTCTGTTTTCTATTTTTATGTTCTTATAACAGTCACACAGGATAGTTTCTCAGAACAAATTTTGGAAACAAAAAATGATAAAATCTATTTGAATCATTATTTTTAAAAGCATATCTAAAATTTTTTTGGCCAACAAAGCATATCTAAATTGATGAAATAAAGGGTAAAAGAATAATTTAATTTTAGTAACATAATTGTTGTTAATGAAAGCATGATATTTTTCGTTTTTTTTTTCTAGTTTAGCATAATAAAAGTATCAAAACATCTTAAAAAATATTCTTGTTTTTTAGTTTTTTAGAATAATTTTTAACATTTTTGTTTTTCAGAATAAAAAACACATTTTTAAATATATTTATGCATTTTTTTTTTGTTAGGTAATCATATAGGTCCTAATTAAGTCTCTACGTGATGAAACAACTGTCTCCTATGAATCTTTTAACAAACCTATAGGACACACAATCAGTTTCAACTTTTTAAAAGTACTAAAATTTATTGATTTTCTATTTGAAAATTTTTAAACTGATCAAATCTATTCTTAAGTGTGCAAATTAAATTTAATCTCCTATGAATCTTTGAAAGAAGTTAGTTGTCATTCAAGAGAGAGAGAAAAAATACTCATTCTCATATAAAATTATTTTTATTTTGCTAACGTTTTCAAATAAAAATTAAAATTATTTACACTTTGGTTTTTATGCATGTACTTATTCATGTAACACTAAACTGATACTATTCATGTTTTTTTTTTTTAAGTAATAACAAGTTGATTGAAGGGCTTTCAAGAATCGTATACGTCCCCAAGACTTCGCTAGATAAGCTCTTTGATCGATGGAAGTTAGGTTCAAGGTACTGTCAAAGCTTTCAAGTTTCAAGTGTTCATATGTTTTTGGCTATTGAAGCACGTTGTGATGTTGATGACACAAAAACGTGTGGTGATGTCTTGTAAGCTGTTTGTATGTCATTGTGATTAATATATTAATTGTTGGGTTCAGATTTTGTGAGGTACACAAAATTTGGCTCTTTATACGAATTTGTTTGGTTCAATTATTATGAAGAGGTGTTGTCATATTCAATTTTAGTTAACCTCACTAGTGTTGTTGGGAGTATAGAACAAGCAATTATTTGCTGATCACTAGAATCGCGTTTGTTTTCCATAGCAGAGAGACAACAACAGCTGCTTTCTTAACTTGATCCTGCAATTTTAGAATATTTGATACCATGCTTCATGATTTCTCCTCTGATTCTATAATTATCAGTTTATTACCCTCACCATGTCCATGAACCAATGACTAAAACACAGAACGGATCAGTACATGTATGATCTTGAAAAAACCATTAAAAACTTGTTAAGTTAAAAATGGTTCTAGATTAAAAAACTTATATGATAAAATATTTAAAATATTATATATGCTATTATCCAATATTAAAATTCAGGCGGGTAACTTGTAAGGATGAATATTTGGAATATTGTATTTTGATGATTAATTTTTTATTTAAATTGTATATTATTTTAATCATGATTGGTTTGACCTTTGGTTTAACCGTGGTTCGACTACTATCCGTGAACCAGTGTCTCAATCAATACAATGATTGATTCAGTTTTTAGTACTTGATTTAAATTGATTGTCCAACCTCATTTAATTAAATTTCCAACTCTATTAGAATGATTTTAGAAGTAGCGATATTCAAAGTGACAAAATGCAAGTTTGAGAAACAAACTTTGAGGGCAATAAAAATTAGAAAAAATAATCTTATAAAAAAATTGATATCGATCAAATTCTCTAAATTACAAATAAATATTAAGAGATGAATGTTATTCCTTATCTATATAAAAAACCAAAATACCAGTTTTGATTGGCTATCGAGTGATCATTGGATCATCATTATTTGGTAACAACACAAGTAATGAAAAACTAATATGTTTGTTTTAATAATATCTTATTATAACAGTGATACTATTAATATTTAATAATTTAAATATTATTGTTATTGTTATTGTTATTTTTATTTATAAACCTTCCTCCAAAATTTATAAATTATCTTTTAAAAAATTAATCACTCAACTAATGGATTCAAGATTTATAGCTAGCTGAGTTATAAACTAAAATAATATGATAATTTATAAATCTTTATCCAAAATTTATCAGTTCTCATTCAAAATATACAGCTAGTGTAAAAAAAAAATCACTTGTAAATCACCAAAACTCCAGTTAAGTTGTAATTTTTTTATTGGAGAATTTGTAAATTACAAAGGTTGACTTGTAAACAAATATAATTTTTTTTTGGGTACAAAATATAATATATTTATTTAGGGTGTTGTTGCTAATAAAGGTGATCTAATAATCGCCTGGTGTAGCTAGTCAAAGTAGCATATTAAAATGGTATTTTGGTCTTGTATATTGATAAGAAATAACATTTGTTTTTAATATTTATTTGTAATTTAAGTTACTTAATCTGCATTAATTTGTATATGAGGTCCTTTTTTATAATTTTGCAAATCTTTGTCTATCATTTTGATGTCATTTTCTGTATTTTTTGTTTAGTTAACTCGTAGTCAAAGTTAACATTTTTTGACTATATGAATAACAGTGCATTATTTTCAAATGTTAAAATAGAACATTACATTAAAAAAAATTTAAAATACCAGATGCTCTCCTGTGAATAGTTGAGACTTATATTCTAATTCAATTTCAAATTTTAAATATCAAATATTATAATTTATAGTTTATTTTAAATATTTCATATTGACGTATCTCCTTCACAGTCATTTTTTTTTGTTTCCTGATTCGTTTCTCATTCTATTAATAAAATAATAAATTTATTTTTCGAATAACTTTTACATAATTATATTTTAATTTAAATTTTAAGAAATAATTTATAAGAAAAAATATTTTTAATCATTTAAATGATAATTTTATAAAATTATTTTATATAACTTACTACTATATTTGATTTAATTTTAAATATTTTTTAAAAATACTTTATAAATATCATTGTCAAAAAGAAATTGTATGAATTATATTTAATTCTTTTGCCAAAAAAAATTATATTTATTTTTTTAATGTTTTTTAAATACTTTTAGCCACATTATCAAATTAAAATTACTTTTAGTATGTATGCAAAAGTAAAGAGTTGAATATGATAAAATGGAGTTTTATTTGTGTAAAACCATCAAATAATGAATACTCACTCTGTTAAAAAATATAAAGTATTTTTTAAAAGGTTGGATATTAAAAAATGTAAGGTAGATTTTTAGTCTTTTAAAATGTAATAATTGCCCTTTTTTTAAAAGAGCCCATATTAAATAAATTATTTTATATTTATTTTAGGGTGAGATGCCCTATTAAATAAGGGTAAATATAAAAAGATAGAATTAATTTGAAGGCAAGTAATTACTTTATTAGGAATGAGATTTGATTAAAAATACTTTATATTTTTGAATGGAAGAAGTATATATTATGTTCTTCTGATTGTTCATGGGGATAGATAAAATTTGTACAATTAAGGGAAATTGGGGGAGAGGTTGATTTCAATTTCAAATATTGATTGGCCTTGGCATTTCAAATATTATCGAATCTATTTTGGATTTAGCAGTTGGAAAGCTGTTGGGTTTGCATAATGAAGTTTAATTTCTTTGAAAAGGACTGAAACTGGAAAAAGATAAGTATCCCTCAAAAACGTGTTGGCCGATGTGAAACTTACATATTTTGCGTGAAGATTGAAGAATATGATATAACAAGAAGTAGACTAAAGGGCAAGGATTGGGTTCGCTGCCGGGGCAGTCAACTTGAAGTATGGCAAAAACGTTTTGAAAACCATATTTCCAATCTTATGCATCAAAATCATGAAATTGAAGTTGATGTGAATAAGAATATTGAAATAGAGAACGATGAAGCATCTCGTATATAACTTCAACCTCAACCTTTAGTTCTTCTGTTCCTTCTGACTGATTAACTTTTTTAAATGTATGTGCAGATTTTCTATCGGATCAAAATGTTCATGAAGAGACAGAATATGAAAGGGGTATTAAATTATTTTATGAATGTAAAAAGAAAAGAAAAAGACATAAAGATGGGGTGCTAGGTAATATATACTTACTTTTCATAGGTTTTATAAAGGCCTGTATAATAAAACATATGATACACATTCACTTTATTGACAGTCTGATTGTGTTTTTCTTGTTTGGTAATAAAACCCAATTGTAGATGCTTTCTGCAATCAAAAAAAAAAAAAAAAATTTGATGAGGCAGAGAATGATCGACCTTCTTCAGTCAATGGTTGTATAGTTTATCTTTAACTTCTATTTTTAATGTTTGTGCAATACCATTAGTTGCTTTTATAAAGGTTTGTGATAAAAGTAAAACTGACTTCAATATAATTTGTAAATGGTTCTATTGCAGACTACTCCTATTTAAAAGAGCAGAAAAAATCCCAAAAGCAAATGACCAATATTCGGGTTTGGCACTATAAAATGGTAATCATAACTTTAACCCTTGGATCAAAATTATTTTTTTACCTCAACAATCAAAATAATTTTGTAATAACTTCAAAATGATTTTTACCTCATTTAATATTAACTTAACAAACAACATCCTATCACACCGATTTAAATTAAACAAGGTTGTGCTGCTGTTCTAAGGGTTGGCTCGATCCTATATCTAATGTTGTCAGGACTGAACGGGACGGGTTGAGCAACAAGCAAGGAGATTGATTCAAAAGAAATATCTCTGTTTCTTTTACTTTGTCTACCTCTTAGTTATTGTATCTTTATCTCCCTTCTTTATATCTCTTTTTCAGTGAAGATGTATATTCTTTGTCTGCTCATTTGTTTTCTTCTCCAATTTTTGGCCTACGCTCCACATTCCTAACAGATGTCAAATGCTTTTGGAATTGATCACGTGCTTGCCAAATCTAACCAAATACGAAGTTCATATTAAGCTAAATGTAGCCTTTGATGAATCAAATGGCCAAGGAGGAAATCATCCGTTTCCTTTAATTTAGTAAATGATGTTGTAAAAGTTAACATAGTTTCTAAGAATTTTGATGCCACCCAAAAAGCCTGACAAGAGAAAATGACTGTTTTAACCTTTTGCTGGCCAGATTCCATATAGAGCCAATCATTATTTCCTAATCGTCATAATCTGACTAAATGAACATGTTAATTGTAGGATATAACAGCTTCATAATCAGTTGCAACTTTCAAATGAGGGGATTACTTGACATGATTTTAATTTTGATAAAAATCGTATTTTTAGTTTTAACGAATGACACAAAAAATCTTGGGAGAATCACATTGCAGGCCTCAAAATAGCAGAAAATTGCACTATAGTCCCAAAATATTCTGCTATTACATTGTAGGCTCAAGAGCTCTTATTACAATTTTTTTTGAAAGTGAAAGTATAATTTTGTTCTTATATAATTTGAAAACGTAGATTATACACAATATAATGTCCATGAATGCACAATACAATATGCATATGTGTTTAATTGATTAGTAAGTTTAATGAAATGTACAAGTGACATAAATAATATACAACACAGGACACACATGGATATTGTGTTGAGAATTCATGAATATGATATTGTGCATCTATGGACATTGTGTTATGCATACTTTATGTGACTTTATTTTAATTAGCATATAGATTAATTGGATATATATGAACATTGTGTTGAGAATTCATGAACATCGTGTTACGCATCCATGGATATTGTATTGTATATGCTTTATGTGATGTATATTTTAATCTATAGATTAACTAGACACGCATAAACATTATATTGTATATCTATGGATATCGTGTTGTGTATCCATAGACATTATATTATATATGATCTAAGTTTTCAAATTACAAAAGGACAAAATTGTACTTTCACTCCAAAAAAAAATTGCAACAAGAGTTCTTGAGCCTGTGGTGCAATATCAGACTATATTGAGCCCAAATAAAAATTTTTATTGTTTTAGGGTCCTACAGTGTGATTCTCCCAAAAATCTTATCAAATGCTTTTGGAATTTACATTGTACTATAGTTGTCATAGTTTTAGTTTCAATAACGAAATACAAAATTAATATTGAGCTAAAGGATAGCCTTTGATGCAGCTGAAACATCCTCTTTCTTTAACTATACGCATTTCCATGTCACAGCAATTTCCTTGAGAAAAGTGATTCAAAAATCAAAAGCAATGGGAACTCACAAGACAAAGTTATTTCAATTATTTTTACTGATCGTATGTTTACTTGTTTGCATAATAATTATGTCGTTATTAAAAAAATGTTTCTTTCTATAATACTTTATTGCAAGAGGAAGAAGTTACCAAGTGCCAACTTCTAACACGCTAATTACGTGTTCTTTACTTCCTTTTCCTTACCAAATATCCTCTAATTACGCCAGCATCTTGATCAAAGATAGAAACGACTTTAGAAAAAATTGTTCTCTTTTCACATGATCATGCAGTTCATTTAACTAATATTTTCATGCACACATTAGTTTTCTGCAGAGAATTGGAAAGTTATTTTAATTATTTTCAGTCCTACGATGTTTTAAAAAATTTTCATGATTTAACCAACTTTAATTTTTTAAAAAATATAAATTAGTTAACAATAATATGTATTATGATCCGGAGGGAGTAACATAGTTTCTAAGAGGATTACGTAGGTTGGGCACAAATTACATTATTCATTTGATTCGTAGCAACTTCATGAGAAAAGGGATTCAAATTAAAAGCAATGGGAAGCTCAACACTCCTGAGACAAAGCTAATTCAATTATTTTAGTATTTGTTAATTTACGTGTTCGCGTTATTCAAATGGCAATGGACAAGAAAAAGTAGACTCTAACTTAGTGTGTTTTGGGGGCAAAGACTTTAGAAGCAATTCATGGACAGGCATAATCTAAATTTACATAATTAATAGTCACCCCTGTTGTGACTCATTAAATAGGTTTTAAAATTAAAAAAATTATTTCAATTTTATCTCTATTAAAAAAACATAATATTCGAGCAGCCATATAAAAATAATAAATAAGAATTAAAATTATTTTAATAATTTGCTAGGAGTACCTAAAATTGGAAAACTTTAATTAATAATCATGTATGTGACTTATATTAAAGTTTCCAGAAGGTGCCTATAATAATAATAGGGACTGGAGGGAGGGAGGGTGGGAGGGAGGGAGGGTGTGTGCCCGCGTATTAAATTTAAGGGAAAATAAAAAAGAGTTTGTGTGTATGATTAAATTTGATTTTTTATATGTTTTCTGCCAACAGAAAAATTTAATTTTTTTTATAATTTAATACATAAAGTTAAAAACCATTGTTTTCATAAATTTTTTCAAGGAAGGCTAGGCACTTTGTATTGAAGAGTGAAGTGATATTCACCCTAAACAATTTTTTCATGAACAAAATTACCTTTCCATCAAACAATTATCATATTTTCTATTATTTATTGATGTGAAATAATTATGGGGTTTACGCACAGTAGCAAAAACACATTCCAACTCATTTTAATCATCTAACGTGAGCCAAAAGGGTTGAAAGTGATAGGAACCAAGTTTGATTTTAGTGATGAAATAGTGGCAAAATGAATTAGAAAATCTTCTTATCACTTTGCATGAGTCCTACAAATATTTTACATTGACAAATAATAGCAAAGATGACCTGTCTTTAGCGGAAGGGCAATTTTGCTCCTAAAAAAACTATTTGCAAGGGTATATCAGTCTCTAGATTTAATACAACTAAAAAAAATTATAACCGAATAGCGTACTCAGATAGAAATAGCCAAACATGAACTCCACTCCTATATATAAACCAAGCGAGAGAAATTATATAACAAACTTCACTTGCAGAAACCCGTTTTGAAACCACTCTTTGAAATCAAACAAGCATCATGAACATGCCTAGTTTCACGTCGCATATCTCTTTTCTTCTGTTGATGCTGCTATGTGCCGTGACATTCCACAGAATCATCTGCTGCCATGACAGGGATCGAACTCTGCTGTTAATCTTCAAACAAGGCATTGCTGATCCTTCCGGCCGGCTTTCCTCTTGGTCCCCTACTCACCAAGATTGTTGTTCATGGCTTGGAGTTACTTGTACTCTCAACACCAGCAGGGTCCAATATCTTTATTTGAACAACATAAAGAAAAATGGTTCAGAATCCTTGAAAGGTGAAATCAACTTATCTTCTTTACTTGCGCTTGAATTTCTAGAAGAATTGGACTTGAGGTACAATGACTTTGAACGCATAAGCACACCATCTATAAATTCTTCTGTTGTTGGTCATAGTCATTTACCTGCAAATTTTTCTCTGCTTCATCGCCTGGACTTATCACACAACAAGCATAATCTTCATGTTGATAATCTTCATTGGCTCTCTCGATTTCCTTCCCTGGTATATCTTGATCTCAGTCGCATTCATCTTCCTAGTGAAACGAATTGGGTTCAAACATTGGCTTCGCTACCTCTGGGGGAATTGCATTTGCAAGATTGTAATTTGACCAGCTCTATTTTATCTGTCGGAGATGCCAATTTTAGCTCAGTTTTAAGTCTTGGTCTCAGTCTAAATGATTTTCGATTTGGAATACCTAATTGGTTGTTCAATCTTAGCACAGACCTCTACGATCTTTACCTCAGTCAATGCAATTTGAGAGGTCAAATTCCAGATTTTTCAGGCTATCAAAACCTGGAGATCTTAGATCTATCTGGAAACAAACTCAAAGGACCAATACCTGATTGGCTTGGCCAACATGATCCTTTAAATGTTTTAGATATTGGCTTCAATGACTTGAGTGGTACGCTTTCAAAAAATCTTGGTGAGCATGCTTTCAAGCTTTTGGATTTGTCTCATAATTCAATTACTGGAGACATATCGAACATGTTCCTAAACAATGGGGCAATACTCATGTCATTTAACAAATTCAAAGGACAGCTTCCTCGAGTATCAGAAGGGGTCGTAGCTTTAGATTTAGCTTTCAATGCTTTTTCGGGGTCTTTATCTTCTTTAGTGTGTCACACTGAGGCTAACCAGAATCCTTTGAAGTATTTGGACCTAACAAATAATTTTCTTGCCGAAGTACTTCCAGAGATTGTTGGACCAATTGGCCATTGTTGTCTTATATATACTTAGGGAATAATCAGTTGGTTGGTCAAGTTCCTCCGACTATGGGCTCATCATTATATCATCTGAGGGTGCTAGACCTACATGATAACGGCTTTTCTGGTCATGTACCTTGGACTTTTCATAATTGCACATCTTTGGTCCTGATCAATTTGGAAGGAAACCACTTACCTGGAAGTATACCAACATGGATGCCACAAAATGTATCAGTTGTGAAGCTGAGATCCAATCAATTTACAGGCAACATTCCTCCACAGCTATGCAATCTCTCTACTTTGATTGTACTGGATCTTGCAAATAACGATCTTTCTGGATCAATCCCTCATTGTCTACCCAATATCCTAAGTTTGATTTCAGAATTTCAGGGAAATGTGTTAACCATCGAAATTGATGATCAATATGGCTTCCCAATTTCACATGAATTCAAAATTGATTTGCACACAAAGGGTCAACAATTAGAGTATGAGAGAAATCTGAAGCTTGTACGGATTATTGATCTATCAGCCAATAAACTATCAGGAGAAATTCCTGTACAATTGTTCAAGCTAGCCAAGCTACAATCCTTGAATTTGTCTTATAATTATTTGATAGGAGAGATACAAAAGCAAATTGGGGAGATGAAAGATCTAGAATCTCTTGATTTCTCCCATAATAGTCTTCATGGGAACATTCCCCAGAGCATGTCTGGTTTATCTTTCCTAAGTGATTTGAATCTATCATACAACCATTTCAGCGGACAAATTCCACTGGGGACTCAACTTCAAAGTTTTGATGCATGGAGTTGTACTGGGAATCCTGAGCTTTGTGGAGCTCCTCTTCCAAATAACTGCACTGCACTAGAAAAACCAGACGATACAAAGGAGGTTGAAGGAAACGACGAGGATGCTTTTTTGAGGTCATTGTATCTTGGAATGGGAGTTGGATTTGCCGTGGGATTCTGGGTAGTTAGTGGCTCTTTGTTCCTAAATAGGACATGGAGGCACGCCTACTTTCGATCGTTTGATGGAATGGTCAACCAAATCCATGTTGCCGTGGCCATAAGGCTTCGACGATTCCACTAAATAAGAAAAGCTACGAGTCAGGTCGGTTATGAAGTTTTTTTTTCTTTTAATGTCTATTAACTTCAAAGTTCTCTTCGATTGTGATATGTTTAATTGTGTGACACTTGGTAGAATATGCATTGCAATATATGTTTAGTAGCAACATCTATTATTTATATATGTGTGTGTGTGTGTGTGTGTGTATCATGTGGCTGCATGCTCTTGGTGGCGGTTATGACATTATTTTTACATGGAATCCCTTTCCATGAATTTCAATTTAATTTTTATATGTATTTGAAATCGAGTAATTTTTTCCAAGTAGGTTGATGCATATGAGTAGTAGTAGTAGTTGTTGTTGTTATATTGTAAATTGAAATTATGTGTAATTATTATTCATCCAAATGCTCTATTGCCTAAACTCTAACATGACTATTTGCAGTGACTTCATATCATTCCCGCTTATTTTTCATAGCAACATGTAGCTGATCGAAGTACGTACTTACGAGGCTCCATCACAGCAGTTGCAGAAGCTTTGCTGGTTTTTCTCTTTGATCGATGATGTTTGGGTCAAAAGCTCTAGTGTCCCAACTTCAAGTAATCAAATGTTGTTGGATGTGGAAGTCTGGGGCTGTGTGTGTGTGTGTTACGTCATTGTGATTACTGTTATTGTTTGTGTTGTTCAGATTGTGTGTGAGAGGTACTATGTTTGGCTGTCTATACAAATTTATGTCCACTTTCACTAAGAAGAGTTGTCATATTTTAGTTATAGTGAAACATGAGAGAATTGAGAGATCTTATTTTTAAGTTTGCTATTCTCATGTTGGTGTCATGATTTGTAGAATGTTGCAGATGCGTCTTAAGATAGATTATACCATTCTGAAAAATGTACTGGAAAATGTGAAGCTCGCATGAGGTACGGGAAAATGTTCCAGAAACATGATACGGACCAGATAACTAAAAACAATTTTCAACCAAAACGCAATTGGATATATCAACAAATAATTTGGGGGGAAGACTTGACAAGCGTGAGTGTCTCTTATATGTTATTTCAAGCGTTGCTTCCCTTGCCTTAAAACAAATCCTTCTAGAAGCTGCTTTTCTTGCAACCAAACAAACATTATATGATCGGGAAAATGATATTTAAGTATCTTCTAAGGACATTAGTTACATTTAGGCACCCTAAAATTATGAAATTTTAGAAAAAGATCATGGTGCTTAGTTGGGATAAAATTTCTGATTGAATTTTTTTTCAATATGCATCTTCTTCAGTGGTCATATTTAGCAGTTTCAGTACTCAATTTTTTATTTTTTTTTATTTCAATGATCACTTCAAATATTTTCAATACTCATCTTCTAAATTTAAAAATAAGTGGTCATTCACTATTGAAGACATGAAAGATAAGTATTGAAAACATTTAAGATAACTGCTAAGAAATTGACAAATTGAATGTTGAAAATGTGAAAAAATGAGTACTAAAAATACGGAAAATTGACTCAGAAAATTTTTAATACCAGTTAATAACTAAGGTCTTTTTTTACAATTTCAAAATTTCAAGATTCTTAACTGAAAAAATAATGTTCCTAGCTGTCCTTAATTTTTATTTTAAAATATCTAAACATCCCAAATCTAGTTTTTAGTTATCGAAGGTAAATTTACGCTCCTCATATACCTTTGAAGTTGTTGCTGTTTGAATCGGCATTGAGATATTTCCAAATTTAAGTTTTTTAATAGTTAAAGTGTCATTTAAAAAAAGTCACCCTTGGAATATTATTTTATTTCACAAACTTTTTTTATAAAAAAATTAAAATATATTCTTTGTTTTTATTTTACAAATATTCTGATTGAGTTACCAAGCATCCACAAGAAACAAACGAAACAAACAGCAATTTCACTTTACTATACTCATTTCATAGCAATTTCCTTGAGAAAAGGTATTCAAATTCAAAAACGATGGGAAGTCAAGAAAAGTTAAAATTAAAATATCATTAAATTAAATAAAAGTAAACATTAATTATAACAATATTTTAATTTTAAATATAATTATTAAAATTAACCAATTGTCTTAAAGCGAATTTTTTATATATTTAAAAACGGAAGAGTACGGTAAAATTAAACTTAACAACTTACTCCCTCCGGTCCCATTTAGAAGTCCAATTTTAAAAGGTGTATTTGGTCCCATTTATAAGTCACGGTGTGTCTTTTTAGGTAATATTTGAGAGGTATTTTTAAAATTACCCTTCATGAGAGAGAAAAAGTAACAGGACATTACTTTTTAGATTTGTTATATAGGGGCATGTTTGAAATTTTACTTACTTTTATTCCTTGTACTTTTATTGTATTGGTATTGATGAGGTTGGTAGAAATGATTTATAAATAGAATCGGAGGGAATAGTTTTTAAGCAGACTCTCTCTCTCTCTCTCTATATATATATATATATAAAGGTGGGGCCGTAAATTAATACCCATGTCATGGCAATTTCTAGAGAAAAGTGATTCAAACGTGTTTGCATAATTACATCGCTAAAAATTGTTTCTTTTTAATACTTTATTACAAAAGGAAGTTACCAACTACTCATACACTAACATGATTTTCCCCTTGAGCGTGTTATTACCTCCTATGGTTTTTTTTTCAGGCCAAAAAAAAAACTTCCTATTTAATCAAAATTCATTTATATTTGATAAAATTTATAATATTGTTGATTTATAATCATGCTTTATTATTTTATTCACAATTAAGTATAATGTGAATTTATTTCTTTATATATATATATATTTTATATGCACTTATATTAATTTTTATTTAATCATTGTCACTAGTTTGACTGTCAATTTAATCCATTAGTCTGTAAAAACGGAGATGTGCTAACTTTTCTTATTTAACATCTAGTCCAACTTTTAAAATGTTGTCTCTAATATGTTAAAATTTTTAGTCAAAAACAATCTCTTTTGAGATAATTACGTTCAAATCCCATATAAAGAAATTAATTATTATAAAGTTCAGTGACAACTGAATGAAGGAGATTGACAATTGATTGTGTTATTAATCTCCTTAGTTTAGTTATTACTGAATCTTATAATAATTAATTTTTTTGTGTGGAATTTTAATGTAATTCTTTCATCTTTTTTTTAAGATTTTTGTTCGGAATAATTACGCGCGTGTATATATATATATATATTCTTTTTTGACGCCCATCTTGATCAAATGAGATAGAAACTGACTTTAGAAAAATTTGTTCTCTTTTCACATGATGATGAAGTTCATTCAAATATTTTCATATATGTACTTATTATTTAATTATATTTTATTTCCCTCCTATCATAACTTTGATTTGTTGTCCACATGAAAACTTTGGTTCGATGTATCAGTCTTTTATTAGCCGTCTAATTAATGAATGTATTTCTTATTGTTCGGCCAACTTCTTTTCATTTGAATTTTGAAGAAAGCATAAACCAATTAACGATGCAAGGAAATAAATAAATTCACATAGTTAATTAGTTAATTAATTAATTATGTCTCAGTGTCTCACTTTTAAATAGAACTAGATTTTAACCCCGCAAGGCACGGAGTTGATACATTACAATTGGGTAATCATTAGAAAAGAAATGCATTTAAAATTTAATGTAACCTTATAAAGTGATATTCCTTAATTTCCTTTAATAAAGGGAGGGTTTTCTCAAATGAAATAATTTAGTGTATTGGATCTGAGAGTTCTAAAGACAAAATTCAGAAGATTAATGAACTAAATTAATAGCCAAAAATCTAGTTAAATGTTAATCACTTACTTTCTTTTCACTTTATTATAAAACATCTCTAACCACCTCTGACTTCACCAGAATCCAAGTTATTAACTTTATCTGAAAATAAAATAAATTTTTAATTTTATTTATATTTTAAAAAATGTAGGTTTACATTACATTATCTTTTCTAATTAATGAGTTTAAATAAAAGTAATATTAAAAAAATATAATTAATACTTCATCAACAGTTTTTTATTAAAGGAGCAAAAAATTCATTTAGAAGGCGGCATATAATGAATACATGAGGGAGTATAATATTTGCTCTATTTAAAGATAAGCACCTTCTCACGCTACCCGCGTTGGATGTGTTTGCTTGTTGGTGTTGTGTCTTCGAAGAATGTTTCTTTACAATATTTTACTCACTTTCGCTTGGCGTGTTTTTAACTCACTTCCTTCTCATTTTTCTCATGTTCCATAATTCCTTTTCTTAGTTGGACACAGACTTTTTGTGAATTTGGATTCAGTGATTGTAATTACTGTAAGTATTGAGTGCCTGTATTACCTAAATTGTTAAAATTCAGATTAATAGTTCTAAATTCATACTCTACTTGAAATTAATAAAAGAGTAAGTTTATCTAAACTATTAATCTAGATTTCAATGACTCACATGATACAGGCATCCAATGTTTGTAATAAGTATAGTTACCAAATCCAAATTCTCTTTTTAAAGATTTGTTTGTATGCGCTTAATATGACTTTGCGTAGCCAACGAAGGCTAATTCACACACAGCTCATCAGCATATAAGCAACAGTTTCATATTTTATAAATCTAATTTTTTTGCAAACTTATTATTATTATTATTATGTTGTCTAAACATAAGCGAACTAAAACTAGAATAGGAAGGTCAACATTGAGGTGTCATTTGGGGTTGATGTTTGTGCCCACCTACATGTCATGTCATGTGTTCAAATGGACAATAAAAAGTGAGAAGAGTTGATATATGAAGACCCATATCAAATAAAGTTATGTTTAATAATCAATACTCCACTGTTCTTGTTTATAAAACTTGATAAAGAAGAATAACTCAATAAAACTAGAGTCATAAGGTTTTGTACTTCCACTGTTCTTGTTTATTTGTCATCAAATTAAAATTTGTTAATTTTTATTTTAAAATGTCTAAACTTTCAAGTTCAAATTAATTTTAATCATCTAAATAAAATTTATGATCCTCATATATATTTAAAGTTGTTTCTGTCGGCATTCAGCTTTGATTCCCATTAATGGTAATTTCCTTTGGAGAAAAGTGAATTTAAAAGCAATATGTGAACTCAAGACTCTTGAGACAAGGTTAGTTCAATTATTTTCACAGATTGCATATTCATCACTTGTTTGTGTTTTGTTATGTCGTTAAAAATTCCATGTGATTTATTTTGTGTTTTTAGAAGAGATATTTGGATAAATTTTGAAAATAAAAGAGATATTTTATGCAATTTATTTTTTATTTCAAAGAGATGTTGGTAAGTTGTTTTAAAACATAATATTGGAGAAAATGGCCAAACACGAAGGCCGCTCACAGATAAAAAAACCTTGGAGAGAAATAACAAACTCTTCGCTTGCAGAAACTCGTTTTGAAAGTACTTGCTTTGATATCAAACAAGCATCAGTTTCGCATCACAAATCTCATTTCTTCTGATGATGCTTCTATGTGCTGTCACATTCCGTTGAGCTTCTGCTGCAATGATAGGGATCGAACTTTGCTTTTAATCTTCAAACAAGGCGTTGTAGATCCTTCTGGCCACCTCTCCTCTTGGTCGTCTAAGCAAGATTGTTGTGAATGGGAAGGAGTTGAATGTGATGACACTGACAGAGTCCAATTTCTTCTTCTGTCCAACACAGATCAAAATGGTCCAGAACCCTTGAGAGTGAAATCAACTTATCTTCTTTACTTGCTCTTGAATTTCTGGAATTGTTAGACTTGAGCTACAATGACTTTGAACGAATAAACACGCCGTCCATCAATAGTTCTGTTGCTGCAACTCATGGTCATTTGCTAGCAAATTTTTCTCTGCTTGATCACCTGGACTTATCATACAACATGCATCTTCGTATTGATAATTTTCATTGGCTTTACTCTCGACTTCCCTCCCTGACACTTCTCGATCTCAGTGGCATTCACCTTCCTAGTGAAACGAATTTAGTTCAGTCATTGGCTTTGCTATCTCTGGAAGAATTATATTTGTATGATTGTAATTTGAACAGCTCAATTCTATCCCTCGAATGTGCCAATTTTAGCTCACTTTCAACTCTTGATCTCGGTCTAAATGATTTTAGATATGGAAACTACCTCATGGTTGTTCAATCTTAGCAATGACCTCACCTTTCTTCGCCTCAATCAATGCAATTTGAGAGGTCCAATTCCAGATTTTTCAGGCTATCAAAATCTGCTGTCCTTATATCTATATGACAACAAACTCAAAGGATCCATACCTGATTGGCTTGGCCAGTTTGATAGATTATATAACCTTGATCTATCTAATAACTCGTTTACAGTTTCATTCCTTCTAATCTTGTAAATGCATCAAGTTTAGGAGCTTTAGATATTAGCTTTAACGAATTGAGTGGTAAACTTCCAACAAACATCGACCAAAGGTGCTTTGAAGTTTTGGATTTGTCTCAGAACTCAATTAACGGAGGTATATCGAACTTGTTACTGGAAGGTTTGAAAGTACTTATGTCATTTAATAGATTCAAAGGACGACTTCCTCAAGCATCAAATAGGGTGCAAGCTTTGAGTTTAGCTTACAACTCTTTTTCGAGATCTTTATCTTCTTTATTATGTCACACCGCTGGGACTAACGGTTATGCTTTGAAGTATTTGGACATATCAAATAGTTATCTCACTGAAGAACTTCCAGATTGTTGGAGCAATTGGACATTTTTCTCTTATATATACTTAGGAAATAATCAGCTGGTTGGTCAAGTTCCTCCAGCGATGGGCTCGTCGTTATATCAGCTAAGGGCACTAGATTTACATGATAACGGCTTTTCCGGCCATGTACCTTGGACTTTTCATAATGTTGTAATTATTGAGAAATTGTGTCGATAGAAAAAGTCCCACATTGCTTGGATGAGGAGAGCTATATTAAAGAATAAAAAAAATAAAAAAGTTTATAGAGGGCTTGGAAGAAAAGTGTTTTTACATGCATGAGATAGCTTTATGCCTTTGTTGCACATGAGTTCAAGAGGCATTGGATTTTTTTTATTAGAATTATTTTGTGAAAATAATTTTTTAATTTATTTTGCTTAAATGGAATTCTTTACCAATGTTCAGTAATAGAGGTCTTGAACAAGGATTTATTACTCCAACATTCTGTAACTGAAGCTTTTTGGCATTTTATTCCTTCAACCAGTGTTGATAGGTGTCCAACATTCATCTTCAATTGGTGAGCATCCAGTGATCACTGTGTTGAGTTTTCGAGCCTCTTCTTCCCTCCTCGTGTTATGCTGTCTGAGTGCTTTGATATGTTGCTCTCTATTGTTCTATGCCCTTGAAATTTTTAGGATGATAATCCTAGGGAGTTTCTATAAAATTGATCGATGACGTGGGATAAAATAACTCTTAAAAACAGTGTACTTAGCACAACTCAAATTGAGGTTCTACCCACTATTTGCAACACATAATTGCAAATCTTTGGTGTTAATCAATTTAGAAGGAAGCCACTTTTCTAGCAGCATACTAATATGGATGCCGCGAAATGTTTCAGTTGTGAAGTTGAGATCCAATCAATTCACTAGAAACATTCTTCCATAGCTATGTAGTCTCTCTTCTTTGATTGTATTGGACCTTGCCAATAACAAATTTTCAAGTTCAACCCCTTATTGTTTGCCCAATATAACTAATTTGGTCTCAGGATTTCTTGAAAATTTTTAACCATTGAAAGAGTCTCAAGATATGGAATCCCATTTCCTTCCAAGTTTAGAATTGATTTGCACACAAAGGGTCAACAATTAGAGTATGAGGAAAATCTCAAGCTTGCGCGAAGCATTGACCTATTAGCTAACAAACTGTTAGGAGAAATTTCTGTACGGTTGTTCAAGCTCACCAAGTTACAATCCTTGAAAGATCGGAGAGATGAAAGATCTAGAATCTCTAGAATTCTCCCATAACAGTCTTCATAGGAACATTCCCCAGAGTATGTCTGGTCTATCTTTTCTAAGTGATTTGAATTTGTCATACAACCGTTTCAGCGGACAAATTCCTTTAAGGACTCAGCTTCAAAGCTTTGATCCATGGAGTTACACTGGAAATCCAGACCTTTATGGAGCCCCTCTTCAAAAGAACTACACATTACCAGAAAAACTAGATAATACAAAGCAAGTTGAAGGAAGTGAAGATGATGGTTTTTTGAGGTCATTGTATCTTGGGATGGGAGTTCGATTTGCGGTGGGATTCTAGGTTATTTGTGGTTCTCTGTTCCTAGCGATAGAACATGGAGGCACACTTATTTTCGATTATTTTATGGTGTGGTGGATCAAATCTACGTCTTTGTGGCCATAAAGCTTCGAAAATTCCGCTGAACAGGAATATGAGACAACACCAGGTCAATTAAGAAGCTAAGTTTTTTTTCACTTTATTCAAATTCAAAATTTTCTTTTTTTATAATTATTTTTATTTCTTAACATATTCATCATTGTTGTAATAACTTCCTGTTCTGTTTGCTGCCCAATAAATCAGGTGCATAACACAAGTTAAGTCTCCGTTGATGTAAAGGAGAATGACATTAAAGTTCCAAAACAATGAATTTATGACAGTTAGATCCTGAAAATTTAATTTTTCTTTTGTAAAATCAATTGTAAATATATATTCAGACACTTGTAAATTCAGAAATTTTAATTGTAAATAAGATATTTAAATTTTAAATTTAACTCTCAATTTGAAACTAAGATTCTTGTTTGCAACTGTGTGAATCAATATTTGTAATTTATTTTTTAAAAAATTTTGTCAGGAACTTTAATTACTGTCATACATTCTCTATTTTAGGACTTTATTATTATTCTCACTTTATGTAATGAAACAACTATCTCCTATGAATCTCCAACAAACCTATAGGATACACGATTAGTTTCAATTGTCAACTAAAATTTATTGATTTTTTAAGCGTCCAAATTAAATTTATGCTCCGTATATATCTTTAAAAGAAGCTGTCGTTATTAAACAGCATACTTTTTGTTTATAGTCCAAACTTTATACTTTAATATGTTGTCGGTGAAGAAGGAGAAAAACTCATTCTTGTATAAAATTATTTTATTTTTCTAAAGTATTTAAATAAAAAATAAAAAATATATATACCTTGGTTTTTATGTGGCGATTTATATGTAGCAGTTAATTGATATTATTCTTATTTGTTTTTCGTTATAATAGGGAGTTGATTGAAGGAAGTTTTAGATTGGTATACATCCCCATAGCTTTGCTAGCTATGAAATTTAGGGTCAAGCTCTAGTGTCACTGCTTGAAGTGTTCAAAAGTTTTCGGGCTATTAAAGTGTTGTAATGTTGAAGACCCAAAAAAAAAAAAAAAAGGTGTTTTGTAGGATGTGTGTGTATGTTATTGTGATTACTATGTAGTTTTTAATTGTTGTTCAGATTTTGTGAGTAAAATGCTTGATTTGGCTGTTTGTACAGATTCTGTGTGTCCAATTATTATGAAGAGGTAGTGTCATATTTTAAATTGATTATTTTTTTTCTCTGTTCTATGAATAAAAACAAAGGAACATATAATGTAGAAAATATAATTCAGGGACAAAGATACTGAACACAGCAACAGAGAAGACATGTTTGACCATGACTACTGACATTTCAAATATATTTTTTCTAGTGCATTTATGATTATGATATCATATCAACATATTTTGTGTTGCTCCATCCCACATTATACTCATTTTATAAAAGATATCACAAATACAAACATCTATTTATTATTTTTATTCAACTATTATAATCATATTTTATGCAATGTAAGACTAGCGAAGTTTGTTAAAGGAAACAAATTAAAATAATTACAATGTTATGTGGTTCATTAAAAATAGATCGTATAGTAATAAATATAATATGATAGTCACATTCCATTAAACAAAAAAATTATAAAAATAATAATGCTCAGAGACAAATTAAAAAAAAAAGAGGAAAATTTCTTCCTAATCCCATACATTATTGCACATGGCATTTTCTAGTTTGCTAATGTAATTTATAATATTACTGAGTCATCCCAATACTTGAGACTTTTGAGACAAAGTTAGTCCAATTATTTTTAGGGAGAAGTAAATCTAGGTGCAACACAAAAAAAATTAATTATTAGAAGATCTATTAACAATTAAAATAAAACTATTTACAATAATTAATTTTTTTGTGGTATTTTACCGTAATTCTTCTTTATTTTTATTAATTGTACATATGTTTACTTGTTTGTGTAATTATGTCGTTAAAATTTATTTCTTTCCTCCGTGTGTTCTTTACTTCCTTTCGCTTTCCTTTTGATCAAAGAGACAAAGCTAAGGAACAACTTTAGAAAAATTAGTTCTCTTTTCACGTTGTGATGAAATTCATTCAACTACTTTTTTAATGCACTTACTTTTCCGGACACTTGCAAAGCTATTTGAATTATTTTCAGTCATACTCTTTGAAAAGTATTATTTGATTATTATATTCTATTTGCTTCCTAGCTATCATAACTTATAATGAACAGATTTCTTATTATTTGGCCAACTTTTTTTCATTTGAAGATAGCATAAACCAATTAGCGATGTAAAAGAAATAAAAAATACATAATTAATTAATTACGTATCAATTTTCAACAGAGTTTGGATTGAACAATCAGAAATTATACAATTAAATATTAATCACTTATAATATTGGTACAGAAACTAGAAGAAAAGGGAAAAACGAATGCTGAACTCTCACTCTGTTTCTCTCAACTTACTCCCTTTTTCCCTATATATAAGGTGTTTTTAACTAAATCTCGCATACCAATAAATTTTGTTATTTAGTTGAACTCACATAAAAACATAATGATTTTTCAGTTTTACCCCTAATAATATTATGATGGTGGTAGGGAAAATATGCAATTAATGATCTATTTCATTTCCCAAGACAAGAGTAAAATTGTCTAATTACTCAAAAATTTCATTGCCACCCCTTATATTTAGGGACAAAATAAGCTTCTAGAATATATCTTATATATAGGGACGAGGGGAGTATGTCTCTTTTACAAACGTGAGGAGTCCTATTTATGCTACTGGGAGGAGGTTACAATCGAGATTAATGTTAAATATTTATAGGAGACAGATGTGATTGGGTTGGCTGCGTCGGAGGCATATGGCATGACTAACATGACTGTAAGCAGTGTGTCTGCATTCAGCTGCATAGGTGTGACCTTGCATATAGCTACTTTATTCTGTTTCATTATGTAATATCTTGAATTTCAATCTTGAAAAACTAATTGCTAATTAAGGGTAAATTAGTAATTAGTAGATTGTGGTTTGGGTGTTGAAATGGTATTTTGTGTTGTTTGGATGTTGTATTGATAGGATTAAAGGGTAAAATGGTAGTTCGGGGCATAATGCACAAGTAGTAGTGAGAATTTTCTCATTGCACCATACGCCACGACAAAAGCTACATGCACTACAACACATAGAACAGATTTTTGCTTAAAAGCTAAGTTTGAATGTGAGAAAACAAAAGAGGAAAGAGAGGAAAATGTGTTTGGAGAGGAGGAGGAGTTCTTATTTGCTAGGGCTTGCAATATTCGGAGATTTGGAGTCTATTTCAGTTAGTGACTTACTAGGTAAGTATCACACAACCCTACACTTCATTTCTACCTTGTTTTCATTGAATTTCATCAGTTGAGAAATCGAATCATGAAGTTCTAAGATGTTAGAATCTAAAAAAAGTTTAAAACAAGCTATTGAATACGAAACTAAAGTTTTATAACTAGTCTGGAGTTAAATAGTTGAGTTTTATGAGTTTACACTCAAAATAGCCTAAAAGTTAGGTTGAAATGGCAAAATTGGACAAATAAATGAGCTAGGAGGTAGATGTAGTCGATTGGATAGCCTATAGGGCCAATGACTATAGATAGTAGATAAATGAATTCAAAGGGATTCTAGTTGGATTGTTTTATGTGTTAAAGGATTCAAATTAGTTAGATCAATGCTAATGTGAAAAGTTGAAAATTGACTGAATGACATTGTGTTGTGTAGATTGAGCATCTGTGAAGTTGCTCATGAGAATCTACGCCCCTAAGAGCCTACTGTGATTAGTAACCCTTATTAGTAAAGGTTAAAAATAACTGGAGTAACCTTTTTACTTATTTGTTAGTGAAATTATTTACAAATATTTTATATAACTATGTGCATTGTGTTATGGACTGATAGAATAGCAATATTATAAAAGAGTATACATGCAGGTATGTAAGTATTGATTAAAATGAATTTAAGATGATGTGTGCATTGACATGCATCGCATCCGCGATTATACCTTGGATTATAGTAGGAGGATGTGGCCCTACTCTAAGGAGGTTCAGGAAGTCTTGATAATCCAAAGCATAGAACATGACTTTGCCAGGATAGACTTAGAAAAATCTTGATGATCCAGAGTGTAGAACTTGACTCTGCCACGACGGACCTAGGATATGGAATGATCTACAAGGTTACCCTAAACTAGGATAGGGGGTTGTAGTCTTACTCTATGTAAGGTTAAGAAGTCCTAATGATCTAGAGCATAGAGTTTAACTCTACCATAATAGACTTAAGAAACCACACATACACAAAGAAGATTACTTGGTTCGAGCAGTAATATAATGGGCCCTGTTTTATGTGACTGAAAGTCCCGATCTGATTGTAGAGATTATTCCACTAGATGAAACTAGGAATGCATTAGCATAAGCATGATGAGATTGATAAGAATGAATTCCTATGTATGCATATGATATTGCTTTTACTGAAACATATGCTACTTTATCTCTTGTTTATTATTCTGCTTACTAATTGGTAATTGAGGTCACTTCTGAGTTATTAAGACATATGTCTCACTCCGTTATTTTTATACACAGGTGAAGAGAGCACAAGAAGGTCGGAAAAGGAAGTAAGGAAAGAGTAGCTTCATTTGGTGGTAATATGACCATCATTGAGTGAAATGAATGTATAATATGTTGTTAAAGTTTGAGTTGCCAACTAGGATGTATAAGTGAATGTGTATATGAATTGTGTTATGAAAACTTGCTTATATATATATGAGGTTGCATCTCACCAAGGGTACCCCAGTAATGGATACATGGGTAGGACTAGATGCTAATCAAGAAAGTATATGTTATTATGTAACTTGTTTTATTTGTATATATATGTATTGAATGTGAAATTGATTATGAATTGTGTATATATGTGAGAATTTGACACAAATGGT